CTCTCTCTCTCTCTCTCTCTCTCTCTCTCTCTCTCTCTCTCTCTCTCCTGTTGGTCCTCCTCCTGGTCTCGCTAACTCTTGTTGTGCGACCTACCGCTGCAGACTGCTGACCGATATACCTTTGAGCCACCTTGCGTCTCCCATCCCGCAAAAATCAACACGAACGAGCGCGTCGATTGCTGTACCGGCGAGGGCCTTGCACTGGTGGCCGTCGTGCGGAACGTTGTCGAGAAATCTTCCCGAAACTGAACCTCCACCCCCGTAAATAACACACGTCTCGACCCGCTTGTTTGCGCTTCTGTCTGGAGTGATAGTATGGGGGCGAGTCTGCCAAAATTCGCAGCTGGTGATTGCAAAGCTTAAGTCCTCCAGCTGGCACGTTCAAGATGGACTGTTCAATGCCACCCTGCATGACACGATGGCGTCGACAAAACCTTTTAGGGGCTGCCGGCAGTATTTTCCGACCTCGGTTTTGGACGAACACCTAACAGCCATAGACCGTACAAAACAAAACATTCCTGGCTTTGCTCGGTGTGTACCCGTCGGTTCCGCGCCGAGCCTGAACAACTTGGCACTCGACGATGAACGTCCCGACATCGGGGACACGGACGGAATTCGCGCGGAACTCGACCAGCACGCTGTGCACTTCGACGAAAATAGCAAGACTACATCAGCGGGGAATATCATGTCAATATCGTCAACATTTTCGACTGCATATTTCATAGCAACAAAATATTGATTGATAGTGAGAACCTGATCCGCGCCACTATATAATTGTTGTCGTCACGGGTGGAAATGCACAAAAACACGGGTATAGTTATTCTCCACAATACTCATAGATAGACTCAGTTCTGTGGAACATGTTTGGTGTCTTAACAAGCACTACTAGGTTGCAAACGTGAGGAATTTTGAGTGCGTCGAATGGCATGACCTGACAAGGACAGTGTCGTGTGTGGGCTTCTTTTTCAGGTGCATTTCGGACGGTTATTGATGCGACTCAGGAGAGTGAGCGCTACGACTGTCATTGGTCAAGGTTGTGCATCGTTTTCGATCAAAAATCATCAACCGAAAGGTGAAACGATGGTTGCGCACCGACCCAAGTACTCGTCGATCCCGTCTGCTAGCGATGAATACATTGCCATACAATGCGTGCTCGATTGTTCAGTCACACACCATCTGCATGTATTATCCTATCGAAGCGTAGGTCTTTTTTCCCCGTCCATTCCAAGATCTTGCTCGACTTGTGTTAGTTGATTACACAACATGTTATGGGTTCGTCGGGGTCTAAAACGCGCAACCCTCCCGCCGTTCTACCTGTAAACGCCCTTTTGCTTGTTATCGTTAGAACCGCCTACAACAACATATTCGCCTGATTGAGAGCGAAGTATCTGATTGAGAGCGAGAGCCAAAAAAATTGAAATTTCGGGTCCAGACGCCTCTTGCCATTTCTTGGCAAGTAGGGGACGGGCTATTCCAAGAAGCGGTGCAAATTGAAGGTCTCATCAGCAGCTTCGCGAGCATATGCGTGTCATCGTCATCGGATGCTGCAGCGAGGAGCTAGACAAGTTGCTAGATTTGCCCAGATTGGCTATTTCTGCTCAAACTGTTTCAGGGCGGTATCGCGTCGGGCGGTGGGCTCTGCTGTAGCTTCTGCTCCCCGCTGTAGCTCCACAACGAGAGACTCCCACAGGATGACCAGGGTAGCGGCTTGAAGCTACGGGCTAGCCCTTCAAATCAATCTACACAGCAAGCTCCACCTCTCAGTGGTAGTCCGGCTACAGCGTATCGCGCAATCTCGCTCTCAATCAGATGCTACGCTCTCAATCAGGCGAATATGTTGTTCTACCCCGACGTTTGTCAAGAAGATTGTATCAGCAACCTAAAAGTTTAGCTACGCACGATGGCCTTGGTTTCTGCGTGTCTTCCTCATTCTTGCGGCCGCTGATCGTTTTCGGTCCCCGACTTGGTCGCAACGACTTCGCCACTCATGGCCCTCATTTCTGTTGACGGGTTCCAACTCTGTCGGCAAGAACGGGGGCGAGATCTCTGAAGCTGCTCTGCATCTGTCCGTAGTGTCGTGTGACACGTTCCGGGTCCTTGTGTGGGTTTTCCTTCAAGGTGTTCCAGGCCTCTTTTCTGCCGACATGCTCAAAGGCGGCATCTTCCACCTCCCCCGTGCAGTGCCTGGTTTGCTCCAGCGCACGATACGCCTCGCTCAAAGTTGTACTTGATCTCCGTCACATGTGTCCGTGAATGCGACCGGTATCGATATCCCTTGTCGTTGTGTGGTGGAAACCATTGTGAAGGTTTGAATCGACCAAATAGGGAACCATGGCGCACCTGGAGCCGTTAAGCGGTGTACAAGACTATCGGCCGAGGCGACAAAGACCCCGCGGCTTCTCATAGGGGTGCGAGGGTAGCTGGATGACGACAGGTTTTTCGGAGTTGCATATTTCAAGTGGTACTTCTCCTCTGCAGTATACCGTTTTCGACCCTGATTTCGAGTCAAAGTCTATGCGATACATTCTTTTGGACGCCTTCTGGCCCATCCATCCATCCATCCATCCATGTATTCCTTTCATTTTCACATGTATCTAGGGTTTCGGGGAAATTTCTTCTTCGCGAGACGTTTCCATGTTTCCGGGTCTCACCATTCGATTCTTACACGATATTGAGGCCTGCGTGTAAGGGTACGCACGCGTGGTGTAATCTGGGAGACCCATCAAGAACAACTCACTTGTTATTAACTCGTGTGGAACAGCAACAGCAGTGGCTGTTGCCTTGGTGACGGTAGAGGACTGAACTACGCAGGGGGGGAGACGGATCCTCTGCTCAAGCAGGGGTTACCATGATCCTGTCCCTTTTTTCCTTCCGCGGGGAGTTACATCTCCCCGCAACTTCTAGAAGGAATCATTATCTTCTATGTTCCGCCTACACATCTAAATCCTGTAACACCAGCCCACCCTAGGGGTTCCCATACGCAGACACTATGAAATGTCGGAACGGCAAGACCATCGTTTGACCTCTAAAACAAAAGAAGGCACATCCAGGAACGGAATGGGGCCAAGAGAAGGCTATTAATGCCGAAACAGGTCGAAATCCAAAAGAAAGGGAAAGTGAGAACACGAAGAAGAGAAGGAAATAAGCGACGTCGGAACGACGAAAAAAGGAACGTCGTCGGAACGACGACAAGACCTGTATCGGAAAAACGATAAGATACGCCGTACAATCGCCAACGTAGCGTGGGAGCGACAGCAAATGGTACGAAGCACCTACAGTCGGCAAACGCAAAAGAAACAAGACGCAAAGAAAACGAAAACAAACCAATGCGAAAAGCAACAGAAGGCACAAGCATCCAAGCATGCCATCTCAATGAAGGCGCGCGACGTCATCAGGCAACGGATCGGTCACAACGCCGCCACGCGAGATGCCGATGTTTAGAAGAATACCCTTAAAAAGGGTGCTGCCGCTGTGAACTTGGAGGCACCAGGATCCGGCGACGGCAGTTTCGATGGTGGCGTTGCGGACATCGGGAAGGGCGAGCTTAACGGGTTCAGTGTCGTCCAAGAAGCGGTAGAGGTGGTTCAGAGGTCCTGCCCAACCACCAGAGTCCAAAGTGCGTTTTGCACCAGAAGAGGGCACCAACAGGTAGAGGAGTATTGGCGAAGTGACGGTCCGATGTCGAACGAGGGACGAGCGAGTAGCCCGAAGGTGAAGCCCTTTCTCCTCTAGCGTGCGCTAATTCTCCGGTAGCCGCACCACTGCGCATCGCACGATGACGACGGTTCGTTTGGGGGTGCTGATCTGGCGAACCTGTCCAGTACCGGAGAGTGCATGGCTTTGAGTGCTGCGGATCTATCTCACGCTCCCAAGAAGGGCGAAGAAGGCCTCTCCAATGTGTCAGATGTATGACAGCCAAAGTGCCACCACGACCACGAACAGACTGGTGTTCACGTAGTTATTTCAACCTCGAGACGTTCCACCGGAGTTGACATTTTGTCTTCCTTAACACGGTAGGGAGGAATTTTGGGCGCATTAGACTTCAGCACGTACTGGGTAAGAACAACAGGCAGAAACCGCGGCATGTCATCGATGTCATGTGGGTTACCGCAAGTCTTGCAACGCACCGACACTCGACGTTTTGAGTCGGAGCCCGGCAGGTCCGACGGAAGATCCAAGTAGAACAACTTAGAGCCATCAGAGAGGCGTAAGAACACGGGCCCACAGTGAAGACTGCAAACAGGCCAGTCCGAGCAAAGAAAAGTTGGCTTTCAGAACCGTGTCATCTGCACCTTTGTGAGCAGTGGATTCGGCGTTGTACCCCCGAACCTATCCACCACCAGCAGCGTTAGAGGGAAGTTATTGTAAATCAATCGAAAGAGTGGAATTTCGCCGCCACTCCACTCGCGAAGCGGACAAGTTATGCTGCTCACGCACCAAGCCGTGATAACGACGTTGACGATCAGCAGCGAGATCACAATACCCAAATTGATCACGGTTCAAGCTTTGGTGACCGCGTTTATAAGGATGCTCAAGGGCGCCCATCAGCAAGCGCCGCAGACGGGTCATGTGCACCTTGTTCGGCGCCAAATCAGTGGCGGCACTGACCGAATCGTTGTATGAAAACTCGATGTGCGGCAGACGCGTGTCCCAGTCGCCTTGCCTCACGACCATAGCTATAGAATCTGTGCCATAGTGCGATTGACACGCTCCACACCCCCACTTCAAGTGGGATGGTAAGAGCTAGTAGCCACTTTGCGAATAGCAAGACGGGTGTACACGGCCTGTGGCAGTTTTGAAGGAAAGTGGGAGCCGTTGTCAGACAAGAGACTCAACGGGCAACCCAACAAAGGGATGTACCGATTGACAAGAATGTCGTTGCCTCCGGCTGTGAATTCCTCAGCCGAAAACCCAGTACATGTCAGCGCGGCGGCTGAAACGGTCCGATAAAAGCAGTATATATGTTGTTGTTGTTGTTGTTGTTGTTGTTTCTCACATTAGCTTTATAGTCCACAAATAATGGGGAGCCCGTGGTCTCGAAACCCGGCACATACAACGCCGCGGGGAAACAAAACAAAATTAGGATACAAAATGATAGAAAGAAAAGAACAGGTATCGCACCGACCGTCCGAGAAAAGAGCCCTCGGAAACCGATCAAAATAAAAACAAAAACAAAAATAATGGAGGACGCTTCCCACACCCGCCTAAATAAAAAATCAAAGGGTGACTTACCAGCACCAGGCACTACGCACCAGGGCATGGGAGTAACAGAGCAAACAGGACAAAGAGGCGGCAGATGGGCAGACAGGCAGAAGTACGAAAACAAAGGCAACAGCAAAGCGAGATCAAGGTACCCAACACAGCAGAGTAGGCAGGGAGGTCATGAAAAAAAAGAAACACAGCACAGAGGCCGAAGGCAATACAAGGACATACATAAAGGAGTATAGCATACGGCAGGGAGGGAAACCGGGCGCAACAACATCAGCCGGGTGCATAGTTCGCCACAAGCGTTGCCTCGGCCGCCCTACTCGCTTCTACAGCAGTGCCCGGTCGCCGTTTCTTCCCCCCCACCGCCGCTTCCCCGGCTCTCTTTCTCTTCGGTCCTGAGATGGCCGTACTCTCTGCTACTGCTTTCCTCGCGCGCTGGCGCTTCGCGGACGCTTCCGCCTCCTGCATGTGCCATTTCCTCATGAACCATGCCCCCCCGTCCTCGGCCTTGTTGTATCACACCTCCGGGTCCTTGGCGCTCTCTTTCCATTTCCCCCCTTCCTTTTCGTCTCCCATGTTGAAGGCCACGAGGTCCTCTCCTAGACGAGACACCCAGTCGCTCTCCTGCCCGCCCCGGTATCCCACGCCCCCCGCCATCGCTCCTAACAGCATGCGCTTGGGGAGGCGGCTGTCCTCCATGCGCATAACAAAGCCCGCGAAACACAGTCTCCGTTTGCGCACGGTGGCCTCGATGGTTTCCTCGCAGCCTGCCTGGATGAGGGCCTGGGCATAGGACAGGGGGGGTCTGAGCGTTTCCGCTTGCTCCAGCCGATGCACCGTGTAAGGTACTGGCGGTGGGTCCCAATGCACTTCGTGTAGTGCTCCGCTGTTAGGCTCCACGAGGCGCACCCATACAGGAGAGTCTCCACCACTTCAGCCTGGAGTAGCCGGATCTTGAGCTGGCGGTTGGCCCGTCGCCTGTCGTACATCGAAGCACTGTTCCGGCGGTAGCACTTCCACGCTCGGCAGCTGCGGCTCGTGATCTCCCGGTCGGCCTTCCCGTCCGCGGAGATGGTACGTCCGAGGTACACAAACCGATCTGTCTGCTTGTACGTCTGGCCGGCGGCGCTGACCGTGAACGGGCGTTCCTCGATCCCTTTCGGCAGCATGCACATGATCTCCGTCTTTGGCTCCGACACCATCAGTCCGAACAGGCCGGCCACGCGCACGATGACCGTCATCATCTTCTCGAGACTCTCCGGCGAGCGCGAGACGATGGTNCTCGATCCCTTTCGGCAGCATGCACATGATCTCCGTCTTTGACTCCGACACCATCAGTCCAAACAGGCCGGCCACGCGCACGATGACCGTCATCATCTTCTCGAGACTCTCCGGCGA